GAAAAATCGAAAAAACGAACTACAAACATATTAACGCCAAACATTCGGTAGAATTTATAGAATATTGTAAAAATTATGGTCTATTACCAACATATATATATATATATATATATATATATATATATATATATATAAATTTTAGAGCAACAATTTGAAGGATTTTCAATGGACACTTGCCAAAGTTTGCTGGCGTCCAAAGATGTTCGTATCTTCAACCAATTTTATATTATTACTACAATTGCTATTAATACTTTAGATTTTTGTCTGGTGACATTCGAATTCCCCAACCGCATACGACTATCCACTCGAGCCTTCACGTTGGATCCGCCACTCTACAATAGACCCTCTCAGGGTCTAATATCATGGGTCGGGTGGAAGTTTGTTCGCGCCTTACTTGTTGACTAGAGATGCTAGTCTCGTCAACTGTCAGCAAGTCTTTTTCAACGTTCATTGTTTTAGATGAATTGATCTAGCCCAGCCTAGTCTCAGTATTCTTTTTTTATTAAATAAAAAAGACAACAAAAATCAAACCTCTGACAATATATATAAAACAATAATAGTAATAAAATCAAAACTACAATGAGTCAAACTAAGCAATGAAAATAACCGACGACCAGCAAACTACTAACAAAGACCGATCATAAAATTAACACCGAATCAAGAGCGCGAACCAAGAGAACTATGACACTTTGTCTCGTCTATTAACTCACAGCCTTGTGTAAGGCTTTGACTGCTATACTTACATAGCAACTTTTTATAACATAGAATGGCTATGTAATAATCTTCCTTAACTTCTTTCTTTACTTCAAAATATAGCTATTTTTATTGTTATATTATTATTATTATTATTGCTGTGTTTGTAAGCGCCGTTTAAAAAGATCTTAGAGGTACTAACGAATAAAGAAGTACATTGTGTAGCCCTTTATTAAGGCAGTGCAATGAATGGAAAAACATTAGCAAGGGTAAGCTTTGACAAAAAATGGTGTTCGACCAGAAAGAAATGACTCAATCCATTAAAGAACAACACTTGATACTTCAAATGATTATCGGAGCTTGCTTTTAAGTAACGAGTGATCGACGCTATCAAAGGCAGAGCTCAAAGGCAGAGAGCGTTGTTTGCTCTAAAAGAGCAAACAACGACACATTCTAAGCATCTGTGGAGTAATACAAATTAGTAGAAACATCCGATAAAGCCATCTCAGTCGAGAGCTATCCCGCCAACTACACTGCTTCTATACTTCCAATATGCAGAACAACACATAACAAGCGTTGCATTTATGGTATAGATAATAACAAAGCAGACATATAAAAAAATGTTAATTTAAATATATACATATATACACAGGCGGCAAACTTCAAACGCAAAGTCATCATATACACCATATATACATATAGTCGTTCTGTCACAATTTTATAATTATAGTAATATTAATAATACTTTTATCGTTATGATTATTGTGATTATTATTATTATTTATAATATTATTTATTACGTCAGCGAGATATATCTGGCAAACTATCGTTCCACGAGTTGAAGTTACTTTGGGATAACATCAAAATTTGGAAGGTCACCGAAAATTTTCAATAACTAATTATAATGAATATTATAATTGTGAATTAATTAACTTTACAAAAGACCATTAGTTCAAATGTCAATGTATTATATATTATTATATTCGCATCACAGATGTATCACTTACACCTGCATACACAAACACACACACACACACACACACACACACACACACACGTGAAAAACTACGCATCAACTCACGCACTACGAACTTCTGCGTCTATCAGATCCTGATTTTTCAAAAATAATGAAAAAAAATTTGATAGGCAAGAAGGATCCCGGTCACTGAGGCTTTATTACCAAAAACAGGGTTGTTAATACCGAAGTATCGATATCATATCGATAGTGTCGCCGATACTTTTTCGGTACCGATATAGCTACAGTCGAAAACTTTTAATGTAAGTAACGCAACGGTTATTGCCGGTGCATTTAAGATCTGCGGATTTTCAATTGCGATTCTCTTCAATCAAGTTGAAAGAGTAACATTAAATGGTTTTTACATAGATTATTCATGATTATTATTATTATAAATTTTATCATTGCGCATTATTTAATTAACATTAACTTGTATATATATATATATTTTTATCATTGTATGTTTTTTTATGGTGAAAAATAAAAGATGTTCCCATTATTATTATCGATACAAATATCGGATCGACGACAACGATACTTATGAAAATTAAAAATCGGTATCGATACGAATGGCGATACGTCTTGGCTAGAGTATCGCCATTCCTATCGCTGGTACTTTTTATTGTTAACGACCCTACCAAAAATGACCGCTTGATTTATTTTTATCAGACTCTTTGTTTATATCCATATAATTTTTTTGTGTCTTCCTCATCATCTTCATCATCATCGTCGTCATCATCATTGTCATCATCATTTTAATCATCACAATCATCCTCATCATAATCGTCATTATCTTCATCATTATCGTCGTCATCATCATCATCATAATCATCATCATCATCACCATCATCATCACCATCATCGTCATCATCTTCATCATCGTCATCATCATTGTCATCAGGTCGCTTTTGATGCTCATGATAGTGATAAAAATGGTTCTTTTAACAGTTATGAACTGAGAAACGCTCTATATTATTTGGGTTAGTGGTGATGATGATGATGATGACGTGGATGACAATGATGATGATGATTATTATGTTGATTTTGATGTTTATGTAAACTTTCTGCGGACAAACATTCAAGTAGATATATTTTACTTCCAACTTGTTGACCTTAGTAAATGCACTCATTCAATTTCAGGTTGACAACAATTTGAAGTATCAATCTATCTTACATACACCATCATCATCAGACATTAACCTTTGTTATTATCATCATCGTCAGTTTCTTCTTTTTCATCGTTACCATCACCTTTATCACATCTTCTTTATCATCATTACCACATCATTATCTTGCTCATCATCACATCATGATCATGATCATCATCACATTGTCTTTATCATTTCATCATGCATTTCATTATACATTTTCATCATGCTCATCACTACATCATCTTCATCAACACCATTACAGGAATATCAGTAAGTCAGAACACATTAAACGCATTGCTGCAAAGATTCAGTAGGAATGATGACAGAATTCACCTTGATGAATTCATGCACCTCATGGCTAGAATCACAATCATGTTCGGTCAGTCACTCATATGATGATGATGATGATGATGATGTTGATGATGATTATGGTTTTGATGGTAATGATGATGATTGATGATGATGAAGATAAGGAGTATGATTAGTATGATGATAATGATGATGATGATGATGATGACGATTGTGATAATGATGATGATGATTGATGATGAAGATAAGGAGGATGATTGGTATGGTGATGATAATGGTGATGATGACGATGATGATGACGTTTGTGTTAATGATGATAATGTTTACAATGATGGGGATAATGATGATGACGACGACGACAATGTAATTAATAATAATAATAATTATTATTATTATTATTACCATTATTATTACCATTATTACTTATAGATGCTTTCCGTGACAAGGAGAAGACTGGTGACGGAGCACCATTCACGTTGGATGAGGTGCGTTTTTTTGGATATTTTTTTTTAATATATCCTTTTAATTTATTTTTTTATATTTCAATAAAGCATTTAGTTCATAACCTTTGGTGAACGTCTAATAGAAAATAATGATAATGAGAATCCCGCGGAATCCTGGCTGGCCGCGGTTTTCGTCACGCTGCTCCGTATGTCTGGAATGCGTCACCTCCTGAGTTAAGACAATGTTCCTCGTTGAGTCTTTTCAAAAAGGCATTAAAGACTCATCTTTTTAACACGGGCTCCTGGCGCCTCTGAAGCAGCTGTGCGAATGGGCGCTTCATAAATGTTTATATTATTATTATTAAGAAGGAGAAGAGGAAGAAGAAGGAGAGGAGGAAGAAGAAGGAGAGGAGGAAGAAGAAGGAGAGGAGGAAGAAGAAGGAGAAGGAGAGGAGGAAGAAGAAGGAGAGGAGGAAGAAGAAGGAGAGGAGGAAGAAGAAGAAATATTTATTTTCTCATTAAATAGTCATATTTTATCACCGCCGTCTAGAAAATATCATTACATTTATTATTGTTATTATTATTAATGATATAATTAATAATAAGATTATATTATTATTACAAAATTATAATATTATTACAAAATTATAATATTATTATTAATATCAAAATTTCACTCATTCACAGTTTATACAAACCACCATCTACTCCTGAGGAGGTGAGGTTGGCGTGGCAGACGAAACCCTCCAGTCAAAATGAAAATAAAGAATTACGTCATATGTTAAAAATTTCGATCATGACCTTAACGAAATATTAGGGTGTGTGTGTGTGTGTGTGTGTGTGTGTGTGTGTGTGTGTGTTAATGTACTTGAGTGTGTATGGACGCCTCCAAGTTCACTTCAAAGTCTTTGAACTTGTTCGCACACCGCAATCTGCTCTAACTGCTTAGCCACGCATATTCAGATTTGATATTCAACTACGCGTGTCTGTGTGTGTATGTTTTATGTTTGTATGTTTATGTATATTTGTGTGCGCGTGTGTGTGTACATGTGTTTGTGTGTTTGTTTGTGTGTGTGAGTGTTTGTTTGTGTGTGGGTGTTTGTTTGTCTGTGTGTGAGCGTGTGTGTGTGTAAGCGAGCGATGATGTGTGAGTGTCTGTTTGTGTGTGTATGTGTGAG